AAAAAAAAAAGAATTTAAAACTAAGGAAGGTGGTGGGTGGCCTTCTTCCCATACACTGTGAGGACCCAGTGAATGTCTGCCTAGGAATTACTAGGTTTGGTCATCCAAAGATGGATGGCTCCCCTGGCCACAGCTTTGAACTTCTCATTCACTGTAAGCAGGCAGGTGAATATAATGGGGTTTCGTTATCACGGGGTATGACCCCCACCCTTACTTCTATTCCATGGGCTTCAAGGCCAGTTAAAGGATCCTTCCAGAGTGCTGGCTCTTCATTCTCTAAAAATGACTTCTTCCTGGTCTTCCTTTTCCTGCTCCACCTTCTTCCCTTTCTGCTTTTCCTCCTCCTTTTCCTTCATTTTCTCCTCTTCCTCCTTTTCATCTTTCTCCCTCCCCTCTCCTTCCTCTTCTCCCTCCAGTAGTTTTTATTTTCTTTTTTTTTTTTTAAGACAGAGTCTCACTCTATCATCCTGGGTAGAGTGCCATAGCATCATCATATCTCACAGCAATCTCAAAATCTTGGTCTCAAGCAATCCTCTTGCCTCAGTTTTTCTATTTTTAGTAGACAAAGGGTCTCGCTTTTGCTTACGCTGATCTCCAACTCCTGAACTCAAGCAATCCACCCACCCAGGTATCCCAGAGTGCTAGGATTACAGGGGTGAGCCACCGTACCTGGCCCAGTAGTGTTTATTTGAACCAAAGGTAACTTTTCTTAATATATAAAGGAAGTGGAACAGCCCATAGTGTGTGGCTCCCTAGTTTGGCCCTGCTTCCAGGAATCCAGTTTCCTGAAATGGAGCCAACATTCAACTGCCTTAAGTCAAGTCGCACCCTGCCTGGTTTTAGCAGGAAGAGGCCACATACCCATAAGTAGGGCACTGCGAAAGAGTGCTGTGTGTATTTCACATTTTAAAACTCTTCTCCCTTTCATGACGGACAATAGAGCCAATCACTTTGAGGTTCTATAGTTTCAGTGCTTGGAACAGGCACAAACAGTAAAAGGCCTGCCTGAAAG